ACTCTTCCCCGAAGAACTTGCAACAGTGTTATGAATGGCTCGTGTTTGCACCAAATTAGCTCCGGTAACCCTGTTTACCGATTGAGGTTCATCCACAAGCATCATTCCAAGTGCAGAAGTGACTTTCGTCCAGGATTGTTGCCATCAACACGCGCTTATCGAATTATGCGGTCGGACACATCGGCACCCTGGAGATTCGCATGACACAACTGATCGGCGACATAAGCATAAGCTGCGCTAACTCGAGGCTTGCAGGTTGATAAAAATTGTGACGCTGGTGCTTGCTGTCGGGATACCATAGGTCACCCCAGTTGATGTGGCACAATCGCGCTGTCAATACCGGAGGAACCACTGCAAACCTGTAACACCCTCAAAGATGTGGGTTAGGCTTATTGACCACCGCTTCTAAGTGTGGTTTGCAGTGAAGACAACAACACCACAGTCGTCACATTCACTAGCTCACCAATTCGGAATTATTGCGTGCACTCTCCCCTGCTGTTTCGTCGGGTCATTTGCTGATTTGTGAATACGCATCCATTCGTGGGCGTTGGTTAGATGGTGCAAAGTTAACATTGTTCGTTGAAATAAGTTGCTCTGCTCGGCCCTGATAACACAGGTGCTGTGTAGTCGTTATGAATGCAATAAGCAGTGCACTGACCCTCAGATCCATGTAAGTAGACTACGTTTGTTTCAGAACTGATGCAAAACACTCGCAAGAGATAACGTCACAGCAAAATCGGCTACAACCGCGATGCGCACCCCCTAAAGAGACCGCATCTTTACCTGTCCAGCCGCTATGAATGCATAGATTCCGCCAGGAAAGTTTTGAGGGATGCAAGTGGCTTAGCACAGCGATCAGCTGAACATTGGGATGAAGACTGATGTGATCAAAAATTACACTACTCAACCCGACTGGAATTTGCTGGTAACTTTCTGAGTATTTGTGGGCTTCCATTGACGGGTGATCGATCGAAATACCCTGGTAGCTATCCGACGAGTATGTAGATAAGCAGAAGGATAGTACTGCCGAATAACGCTAGAAAAACTAGCCATTCAAAGACGCTGGAAGCGCGTCACCAAAATGGTCATCGTCCTAGGAAGCTGAAGTGATAATCCTTCACATCACCTAATGCTCGAGTAAAATGATAACAAGCAGCTATGGTTTGCGGAACAGCCCCGACATGTGATCTCAAACAAGATCAAGATCAGTGTTGAAGCGAATCACGGTCATTCTGACGAATGGGAATGCGTACGACATTGATATCCAGTTGTTGCTCTATCCCAATACGGCGAGTTCCACCACCAATTTCGTCTTCGGTGGAATTTCACAGACCCACGCGCAAAACACCGATACGGGGCGTTTGCTTGAAGCATGGTGTTCTCATGTCCTATACGTATGAGAGTGGCGCAGATAAGACGAATAGACTGCAAGAACACACGTTAACTGAAGGTATGTATGTACCTGTGTGATGTGGAGTGCATAGCCACAGTGGGCGACCTGTGACACCACATTCGCGACCAGGTGACAGCTGCTGCCGAGGAGACCATCGGGCGCGCAAACTGTAAGCGGCCTGATTGGTTCGCTGAGAACAATGCAAAGATCGGCGCATTGGTGTCGGAGAAGAATGCAGCATTTGCTGCATATGTGGCAGACCCCAGTGACTTGGAGAAGAAGAGTCAGTTTCGCAAACTTCGACGACGACTGACCCGAGAGCTCCGTCGCATTAAAAATGCATGGTGGACGGAGAAGGCGAGGCAGATGGAATGCTACGCCGAACGCCGCCAACACAAGGAATTCCTTGACTTCTTGAAGGCGGTGTATGGACCGAGATTGGAGCCGCTGAGGACGCTGATCGATGGTAGTTCAGGCGATACCTGCACACAGACTGCAGACATAATGCAGATCTGACGGAAACACTTCGACTGTCTTTTGAACAACCGTTCAGAGATCGACTGGCCTACATTGAACGGCCTCAAGCAGCACGATGGGAAGGCGAATCTGGCGGACACGCCGACACTGGATGAGACACAGAGAGCACTTGCTCAGTTGCGAAACGGCAAGTGTGCCGGAGCCGACGGGATTCCACCTGAAGTATTGAAACACGGCGGACCTGCGTTGTTGACTGCGTTGCACCACTTGGTGCAACGCGTATGGATTGAGGAGGAGGTGCCTGGTGAACTGAAGGATGCCCTTGTGCTACCACTGTACAAGGGTAAAGGTAGCAAGCAATGTTGCACGAATTATCGTGGCATCAACTTGCTGAGTTGTGTGGGCAAGGTGATTGCCCGAATCCTGCTCAACCGCCTCGTAAGACAGGTTGTGGAACCTAATGTGGCGGAAGAGCGGTGTGGATTCCGCTCAGATCGCAGCAATATAGATGGTTTGCGGCTCGTCAACTACAGGGGAAGTGCAGAGAACGACACCAGCCATTGTACTCGCTTTTCGTTGATTTCACCAAGGCATTTGACACGGTGAACCGCGAGGCGTTGTGGCTGGTGTTGGGTAAGTTTGGTTGCCCGCGTTAGTTTGTAAGTTTAATTGAATATCTGCACAGTGGTATGCGAGCGAGGGTGCAGCTGAGTGGAGAGACCTAGGATGACTGCTGTTGTCTCTGGTGTGAAGCAAGGTCGTGTCTTAGCTCCTGCCCTGTTTAATATATATCTTCATGCAATGCTGTCTTGTGCTTTTGATGCAGCTTGTGTTTACGGTGTTCGCCTGGAGCACCGTATCGATGTTGAGTTGCTGAACATCCGTCGTTTCGGTGCGAGAACTCTAGTCTGTGAGAAAACTATCCGTATGTCGCTGTTTGCTGACGACTGTGCGTTGTTTTCACACAGCGCGGATGAGTTGCGGCACATGACTAATGCTCTGGCTTCAACAGCGGCTAAATTCGGGCTCACCATCAACACAAGCAAAACTGTCTGTCTCTTTCAGCCTTCACCAGTGCAATCTTCAATATTGCCGCGAATCAGCATTGGTGCTGAAATATCAGAAACCACCTCCCGCTTCTGCTACCTTGGGAGTATGATGTCGACTGATCAGCAGATACACATTGAGTTGCGTATTCGCGGCATACGGGAAGCTAGAGTACCGGGTGTGGAACAACCATCAGCTTACCATTGGCACGAAGCTGATGGTGTACAAATCCATGGTGCTGTCCGTTCTTCTATATGGCAATGAAACGTGGACGATGTGCCGTCGGGATGTGCGATATCTCAAGCGGTTCCATCAGCAGTGTTCGCGACGAATTTTGCGCATCGGTTGGGGGACGGAGTTGCTGACACGAAAATGTTGCGCCGAAGTGGGATGTATGCAGTGGACTGCATACTTTTACTGAAACACCTAAGGTGGATGGTTCATGTGTGGCGTATGGATTCAACGCGGATACCGAAATAACTCTTATACGGTCAGCTGAGTGTTGGGAAGAGGCATGCGGGGAAACCAAAGTTACGTTACCAAGACATGATCAAAGTGAGCATCAAATGTTCTAAGCTAGATTGCAGGTCATGAGAATCGAAAGCGGTTGATCGGCGTGCATGGCGCGATCTTATCACGAAGGCAGTTGCTGAAGTGCGGGAGAAAGACCTCATACATGCAGTGAAGAAGAGGCAAGTGCGGAAGCGGCAAGCATCGATGGAGTGTACTCCATCGATATCGAGCGAATGGTGCCATAGCACATGCGGTCGCGAGTGCCTGAGTCAGGCAGGCTAGTGCGCCATGAGCGAAGCCACTCGGGACCACTACCGAAGCGACGACGGGTGCTGCAGAGAACGTAGGCAGAACCGGCGCAGCTTTTGTAGCTACACTGCATTCGACTTACTAACCGCGTGCTTGCATGTTAAATCTATTTATTTCAGGTGGTGGGTTTTCAATTTTGCCCTAATGCTTTCCCTTCTCATATAAATGTCTACCTGTACTCTTTTCCAGTAACTTGCACACCTCGCTTAAGCCAATTGTAGATAATTTCGATAACGTTTTCGTGGCATTTCCGTAAAGTAAAATTCCTGACCTGGTGAACTTACCTCGCATTCGTTTGTAAACATCTTATTTCGTATGCTCATTAACTTAAGGTTTATGTCACCGTTTACTTATCCATTAATCGAGTTATATTTTTGTATCCTTCTCTCAAGTGATTGGCTGTTGTTTGATATCCCGGGTGTGGATGCGCTTGATGTGCATGTTGACAAGGTGCCCACCTGTCTATTACCCACTACCTTGTTCATACTGGCTCCGGGAGACAGTTGGTCGTTGCTGGCTGGGACGGGGAGCACGGTCTTTGAGGCCGTGTTAGGATCAAACAGTGGTTCCATGCACTCAGTGTGGAGCGGACTACGGTCCAGCCACCGCCTTGTATGCGCTTGATTCCCCAAAATACAGCGTGCTTGTGTTTGCCTGTGAAAGAGTGTGGGCCGGCTCCGCTGATGAAACGTGGCTCCCATCCACATGCCTCCCGGTCTTATTCCTTCGGGTTTACACTGGGTATGGGGTGTGTGGTTGAATCTGTGGGTGGTGCAGGCGTCCTGTGACTGGCCACAGTGACAGGCAAATCCGAAACCGGATGCCGCTAACCAACCAATCTCAACAGCCTAGCAACTAGACATAGAGCCAACTAACTGAAGGAGAAACAAGGCACCATTTAGATGGGCTACTAACGCTCAGTGATGAGGAAAATGAGGTGAAAGATTTCGGAAAAGGGGTTTAGGTAGCAGGCCATGTAACCGATGAGTATTTAGAAGAAAGAGCTTATCAATGGTACTGGCACAGTCAGTGACACATGAGCAGACAACTCGTTGATATTCCAAGCGCCAGTTAGTTGACTCCGTACAAGGCAAATGTAGTCGCTGCTGGCACGATAAACAAAATGTCTCCATATTTACGCCAAGCGCTTAATAGGCAATAAACTCACTTATGATTACTCAATGATAAAATAACAGCCCAGCGAATACGCTGTTTCCCGCTGTATTTCAGTTCCCTGTAGCTATGAAGCACAATAAACGAAGCCGTACTCGAAAGCATTTATTGATGCACCTGGTGATCGTGGTCCGAAAGTTCAAAAAATTTGTGAGATGAATAATTCATGGAGAGGTAGGAAAAACGGAGCAGACAGGTAGGTAATAAGGAAACTGCACATCAACCAGCAAAAAACAATTCCTGAGTGATGTTGCGGATGAGAACACAACACTATCGTAGTGTTGATATACCTGAGTGTGCAGCTGGTTAGCGGGGTACTGGGTGGGCTCGCCAAAAACCCGATGTATCTCGAAAAGCGACTGGATTGGAGTCACTAATACTCATAGGGAGGAAGTCGGGTAGCACTGGGGAAAGTGTGCAATGAGGCAGAATGAAGTTCTGGTAGTACAAAAGAACAATGACAAGTAAGTAGGGAAAGAAACGTCTCTGCAAGATAAAAAGCCGCTTACTTGACAGGGAGTAGCACTTCGTGAAAGTGGGATAGGAGGTAGATTTTGCAACAAGGACTGCGCCCAGTAGATCGAGAGGGTGGCGCATGCAAGAACGACGATGACAATCAGTCTTGGTGTAAGCAGTGCTCATTGTGAGACAAGGGGGAAAACAAAATAAAAATAGAGAAGCGGGCACGAATAACCATGCGTGACAAACATTGACGAGCGACGTGAGTAGTCGAGACGAAGTAGGAAAGAGGTGTAGCATTCTTGCAATAAAAAACCAGGTGGCAAGAAAACAGGCGCTTGATTCAAGAAAACAATAAATCGACCGAATCCATCACGCTATGCGAGAGGAAAGATGAAAAATAAGAGGAGGACAATAGAAAATATGGGCGCTCATGTGGGAAACCGGTTTCATCGCAAATGGATAGGGGGAGAATGGGTTAACCGGTGGAGGAGAGAAAACATCTGCTGTCATAATTTCGGATAAAAGTCGAATGACGATATTATCAAAAAGTAACATTCCCTGGGAGGATGATGCAAATCACTGGTGGAAAAACAACGAAGAGAGGAAAGCCATATGGAATTAAACCAAAAACAAATGGCAGCGATCAAAGGCAAGATCAAGTTCAGTTAGCAAAAGTCGCACAAAAAAAGCCAGACAATCATAGGGGAAGTGGAGGACAGTTAAATACTATCAAGCACACACACACACACATCACCGAAACACAAGCGGAAGGAAAGCAAGCAGAGCAATGGACTTATTAAACAAACAGACGGGTCCTGAGGAACGGTGTCAACACGGAAAACAGCGACACAGCAGGAATAAATAAAAAAAGGAAAGTACGGAAATAGCTGGATCGGCTAAATGCGTGACGCCGATGGAAGCAGTAGTAATGGGGATGAGAGAGGAGAATAAAACGACGTACAAACGTAGGTCAGAAAATATTCCACATAAGATCATAGCAGCCGCACGGAAAAAATAGCCACTTCTGGTTAGCTGACAGATGAAGCGTGCATAAGATCGCTCGGATGAACAGCAAAATCGGTATGGACGACATGAGCTGAAACTCGAACAGAGACTTTATCGCTAAACCGAGGGGAGCGAGCATAGAAATTCGGAAAGCACGGTTGAACCTGACTGGATTTGCCGTCACAGGAGGGTGACGGATCACAGAGATGGGAGCGATAGTAGTCAAGATGCAAGATATAAAGAGTATAGAGCACTGTCCCCTTCTTTTTCTGTGACCAAGCTTGTCTGTGTTGAACAGAGACAGCGCTTGGAACAAGATTTGAGTACCGGTTAGATGGAGACAGATGAAAGCAGCAGAAAGGAAGAAAAGAATGAACAAAGGAGAATTGGTGTGACGGAGAAAGAAAACTCTCTGAAGTGGGTACAGCCTCTGCTCTCACAGTGAAAAAAGGTGTCTATTTGGATTCTGTTGTGGTGGAGGATCTGGTGGAGCCAACGATTCGATCGGCCAGTTCGAGACTTAGCTCTAGTTCTAATTTATCGCGATCTTCATCCTCTTCGTAGTTGAATTCCGTGCCAAAGCGTGAACTCATCGTCCCACATGCACCCTGAGATTGAGTACAAGTGGGATAACTAGTAGATGAGTGATATCGCACGAGGATACCTATGCCGTCGGTGTCTTCCGAGGATGCAGCCCTGCTAGAAGCTGCCTCGTCCGCTTCGGGAAGTGGCTCTGGCTTAATGTGATGATAAGGTGGTGTGTCCAAGGCACATTCGCTACTTTCGAACGCACCGCACAGTGGCTGACGCAGTGGGGAGTAGTAAAGAGAAGTCGGAGGCGTTAAAGGTCCAAATGAGCGACCATCCACCACGGCAGAAGTGTGCCCTATCGGAGTGGCAGAAGTGAATGCACTCCCAGATAGTGTTAATTGCGGAGGTCGCCAAGATTTGGTAGAAGAGCTGGTTGAACTATTCGTGGACGGAGATAGAGCGGAATTCACAAGAAAAGGTAAGAACCTGCTGGGATTTCCGGTATGCAGAGAGGTGGCTTTGGACGATGTGGCTTCGTAGTCGGATTGCGTTTCGTCATGCAAGGGTGAGATAGATGCATTAACCGGTGGGATTGAAAAGCCAGAAGTACCAGAAAAGCCAGAATATAGGCTAGTTGAGGGCGCTCCCACTGGCAGTTGATACGGAGAAGTGTAGTGTTGCCAAGGAAGATGAAAACTGGATGCGGGATGATGACCGGTGCTGTGCAGATGAAGTGGTAAAATTGGATGGTCAGCAACAGTATCCGTCAAGCAAGCTTCCGGAGTCGTCGATCTAGTATGCATTGAATGCGGTCTCATGTCGACAGGATGAGGTTGTGGTAAGGACGAGGTGAAAAAATAGTGCGAAGGTTGATCCATTGACGATGAGCGAACACACGTCAGATTGTTAGTCGAATGCGGAACGGTACCGCCGAGAAAGGTATTCGGCAAATAGGACTGTGGCAGGTGAACAGATGTGGAGCCGCGCATTTCGTTTGAACTCCCAACAGCCGACGGGTCCGTGCGAAGAAGGTGCTCGATCAAGCTGCTGGCTCGACTAAGACGGATGAGGTAAAAGAAGCAAGGGGATGGAAAGGGGCATCGATAAAAAGGCAAATGATAAACTGATATGATACATTGAGATGGCATTAGACAGGTTGGATAAGCAGCAAGCAGAAATGATATATACGCATACCAGCACGGAATCTAAGAGCCAAATCGGAAGGTGCGGTGACTCGGTGTGTTGCTAGTGGAGCAAACTGAAAACCGCGAAGTAGGACGCTATAGTGCCAATTAGGAAGTGCCACAAACGCATGAAGAAAAATGCACACCAGTACATTGAAGGAAAGTGCAATATTCATGGATGTGATAAAAGCCGAAGAGAGTCAGAAACGGAGGAAGCAGACACATGATTGTCATCAAAATAAATCCAAACGGATGGCTATATTTCGCTTCGATAAAGAATCCCGCTATAAAGTCTTCAAATACTGCAGTCCGATGGTGGTAAAGAAAAAATTGACTAAAAAGGCTTCTTTTTGTGACATCCGTGCGTAGGGATAGATTATGAAAGATAAACACTGACAGACAAGGCGAACAAATAATGTACTGGACTATTCCCTTAAGCAATAGCCATCTAATTCTGGGAGGAGAACAATTGCAACGTAATGACTGGATGCTAACACGCTGATTGTACAAAAGAAAGCCGGATGAAACCGAACGATAGTCATGGGCGCAAATGTGGCGAGTTCGAAGTACAAGCCGAGAAGGCCGTATGCTTTAAATTGGGATCCTACGCAAAAGAGCCAAAGAACTGTAGCTATCGATGGCAATGACCGATTTCTTGAATTCCGGGAGTGAGAATCGAAGTCATCCATGTCGAAAGAAATCATGGTACGAACAGGTGTGGATAACAAGAAGCATTTGAATTATAAAGATGCAACAAAGGACGCACTCAGCACGTCCCAACCTTCAGTTAATTTTTTCGTCGTGGCGACATGAGTCAGAACAGCAGTCTAGCACTCAGATTAAGTGCATAGAGAGATGTATATTGTAGAAGCAAAAGTTACGATGTTATATAAGTCGGTGAGCAATAAAGTTACTTTGGTGACTGTTCAGCCTAGTATGCAACATCAAAACGCATTGGCACGGTGATAACAGTGACATCGTGGAGTATGGCCAGACTCAGAACAGCCAACCATTTTGCTTCACGCTAAATGTCCTCAATATCAGCAAATATTTGGCACACAATAACTACAGACGCTTCTGACTGACAGTAACGGTCCTTTTGAACTAAAAGGATGGTTCCCAGTAAGATACCACTCGGCCAAACGGATACACAGTGGTCATAGGGACGACAAGCAACTCACCAACAGTGTAGTGCAAAGTCGATGAAAAGGTTGCCGCACAATGAGTGCTTACCTGCGAACCAACGCCTGATCGGTTGATGCAGCCACTGAGTGGAACTCTGTTGGATCAAAAAGGAGATTGTTGGGTAAATGATCGTGTGAATAGGATGTGCTGGTTGTGGTATTTGAGTGCATTGAGCGGACGGACGAGGACGTTTTGTAGCTAGACCATCGGTTCCCATTACTATGGGCGTTCGGCACATCTGACTCCGTGAAGGGTTGTGGTAGAGATGGCGCATATGGTAGATAGCCAGTCATTTTCTCGTTAGACGGAAAGGGTTTGGGGTAAAAACGAAAATCGCGTGATCGGCCGCACTCATCGATTCCACCATCGCCGGCCAAGTCCAAGGAGACGCACTGCATTTCGCACAGAGATGGTAAGAGTACATGAGCAGCGCTGGTTCCCAATGCTCCTGAGGTGCTAGTTAACGATGTGCCGTTGTGCGAGCCCGAGTGCCGAACACCACGCAACCCGTTGATTGATCCACGACTACCGGATTTGCCAGGGCGTTTACGGTTGTTTGTATCCATGGAGCATGCTCTGCGGCGTATGTACGGCCTAGCTGCCACATCTGTGTTGATCCGCCAGTACGATGACTTGGTGTTGTCTGAGGACTTTGGGCACTTTGTGAACCGGTCATGCAACGACAGGTTGTGTCGGATGGAGTTCTGTAAAGCAGAAGTGCACATTAATGTGAGAATTATGCATATGATGCATCAGTAGCGTAATACGGTTGCGAAAGCGTTGAACGGGAACAACGTAAATAGTCTGCTCACTTCTCGCGGTGGATCCTGGCGGATATCGCGAATTCACTTCGAGAGAAACCTCTAACACGCTATCAGCCAGGAAGAGAAAGAACCTACGAGACGCGCAGTGCTATGGCATTAGTGCGACAAGCGGTTGAAAGAGCACAAAAGGTTTATAACATCGATGAGTTCGTAATCCTCATAGCGGTATCGGGGGCCAGTGGATTAGGATAATCCAGGCTAAAATGTGAAAATGTGACAAATGACCAAAGAGTTGCACAAACCGGTTGACGCGCTAGGTGTGAGCCGAGCCAAAAGTCACGGTGTCTAGCCTGACAGGCACAAGGGTTGATTTGGCGTCTGAACAAGCGGACGAAGCGCTCCGCAAAGGCCTTGCAACTACCCGCCACTACACGAACAAACCGAGGCGCGTCTCCGACCTTGAAAGCGTGTGCAGAGGGATGCGAAAGTGACGGTGATCGATTGGTGGATGTGCGCGCTCCTGGCGAGGTGCACATGATACAGCGATCCGGCAAAGGAGTGCCACGTGAAAACCGGTAGTGCACTTTTGCAACACGTGCATAACCGGGCGACGGAGATGGGACAGACGCCGATTCGCACTCTGCCTCTGTGTTCACAAACGAGTGTGCACGTGTCCAGCGTGACGCTGCAGCAACGTGGGCTGTTTGGAGTACAAACGTGATTACTTTGCAGTGCCTGAGTGAACACCCAGGAGAATTAGAGTCAAGAAAAATGAGTTGGAAACATTTTCAAACCGCTCGAAGATGTGGGACCAGAAAGGGTTACGAGGAAGGGTCAAATTTGGTGATCGATGGACACAAGCATCTTTCCAGCAACTTCATTCAGTTTTTCATTGGACGTTCGAATAGTGTTGATCACCAGTGTCCGCCGGAGAGGTATATTGCAGACGGTACAAGTTAGCAAAGCGGGATCAGAAGAACACCTTATGCAATCTGCTGTCCGTATAAATTGCGCGATTGGCAGAAGGTGAACGTCCCAGATCCAGTGATGAGATGGATAACTTCAATCACAAGCAGATCCAGTGGAAAAACAGTCGTGGTGTGAGAGCACAATAAAACCACAGGGTTTCGTAGCAAGAGACCTAGCGAACCATGTAAAAACGATTGCTGATGTTGCGGGGGTGGGTTCCGAAAATGCGGTAGTTTCGACAGACATGCTTGTGATTGAATGCAAAATGTGCAGACAAGGCTGTGGAGAGAAATACATGGCGACAGGGTGTGTTACTCGTCTAAGGACAAAAAACGAAAATGCTCGTGCACCAGAACAAGTTCTGTGGTGGCCACTTTTCAAGGATTCGAATTGCGCCTTGAAGTGTCATACAAACAGCTGCAATAGGCAAGACACTCGTCGACTGACAGATAGGTCGTTCATAAGGAAGCCCCGAAAGTGGTGAAAGCAAAGCTAGGTATGCCACCGAAAAGAGTGCAACATCATAACTATGTTCCAGTGGTGTGAAGGTAAACGAAATAATGGATGGACGGATTGGAGTTGTCAGGAGACTGATTAGAACGATCCAGCATACCAGCGCTACTGCAAGAGGATTTGAAAGGTCGTGATCGTGATGACTACGTTTGATGGTATGCCGGCACTGAGCACCATAAGCAGAATTTGGCATGAAAGAAAACAGACACCATTTGGTAGACCACAAACGTCCACGAGCAACTAACTTTATAACTGTAGAAAGAAAGAAAAGAAAGTAAGTAGCAGTACGTTGACAAGCTGTACCGACGCGTACGTTAAGGATATCGCGAGAAGGCAGATTTCAGCTGGTGACATATCCTGTCGGCTGAAAGTAACTGTCGAGGCAAAGTACCACTGTTCCCATCAAGTTTATAGTCCAAACATCAACACGGCTCACACAGACAACTAGTGATATGGTTGTTCGGTAACACATCGACATCCATGAAGTACATCTTTCACTAAAAATCTAGCCTTCACGCCGCTTCAAGGAGTACTGCGTGGCTCCGAGTAGAGAACAGTAAACTGGATCATCATCAGTATATATTAGCTGAACGTGAGAACCTAATGTGTCGCAATACGAAAAGATAACATATATGAAAGGATGGACGGAATAGAAGTGGGAAGTATGACATGACCACCACAAACGAGTGAGGAAAACGTTCCTAGTCAGGTGTTCTGCAGTGAGAGTAAAGTCAGTAGCTCGAATGCGGTGGCGAAGAAACCTCGTCGTTGACTAAGTCATGTCCTCCGTGTGCTTGTCGACCGCCTTCCTCGGCGTGCCTTATGTGCTATCGCTACATCGATTAGGTGAAGCCGTGTGGCGCCTGACAGATGATGTGGCACAAAAAATCTTAACCAGGTTGGTGCGTATCGCCTTCGTAGATGGTCCACATCAGTATTTGAACATGGCCCAGTTGCGTGGTCAGTGATGCTCCTGCGTTCGGCTTCTTGCATCTACCTGTTAGTGGTACGCGCAGATTAAATTTACCCACTCCTTTTCTAACTCGCTTTCATTGCATCCTGCCTCACTATGCTTACCAATGATGTTTATTGTCACCCTGGCGACGCGAGTCGTGGTAACTACACCTACCGCACTTCGGTACCCGGATCGTAGTTGTTCAAATGAGCTGAACTCGTAGTAAGCGACAATAGTAGTGCCTATCACGGCAGGCCCCCTTGCCTCACTTCAATTATATAGTATGATGACAATAAATTACGTAGAAATGATTTCTATGCAACCCTAGTTAGGCCGTGTGGTCGTTTGGGCAACGATCTCTCAGGTGAAAAGAAACCAGCTCGTTCCCAATGGCCTTGAGACACAGACCTCGTTTGACCTAGAACAGACGTCAGGTCGAGGCTGGCAGACGTCGTGGTATATCCCCAATTGTTGTGCAATGTGTTTACCGCAGGCACACACACGCAAACAACAGTATTCCTTCCTCTTTTGCACACCAACCCCACGACTCCACCGACTGTAAACTGCATCGTGTGTCTGCCCAACTATCGCAGGGGCTGAAACGCATCTGTGGAGAGGCGAATGCGCTATCGCTAAAACACTGAAACGTTGAGACTCGCTGTGATCCCCATAGTCGACAAGCCGAGGTTTAATATCGATCACAGAACTGAATGTGAACTTTTACCGACTAGGGAAACAACAAAATAAAGCAAAGCCGGAGGTCGTGCACCCCAAATCGAACGTCCATTACGCGCCGCAAGATAATTTCAGACCACTATTGTTGACACACACATAGGAACAGTGAGCTGGGTTTATATGGGATGTGAGTTGGAAGTGACAGTAGAGATACAATCCCTTAGACGCAACGCACAGTCATGAGAGAAGCCAGAGGTAATTTTTGTTATCTCATATACGAAACGAATATGAAGACACATCCACTAGGTACAATTGAGGACGGAAGAAGAAGCAGATTGTGTCTAAGTCGAGTGTTGACTGCGTGTACCAGAATGAGAGTACAGCAAATGCGATATGGTTGTAAGGAGACTGTGTCGTTGAGAAGTTATGGTGTTGGACTGGTGCATTTTATGCGTATCGCCATCTATGGTCAGAATGGAGTGCATGATAATTGGTGGAACACGTCGAAACGAGAATTATTCGGGTGACCCAGTCGGTGAGTTTAAATGACCCGGCGCGCTGAGAACAGTGAGGTGACCTCACACACTGGTTTGATGTAGCTTCATCGGTTGTGCTGAGACCATGTTCCTTGGTAGCAGATGACGATGTGACATTTACGCTTCTCCAGTTTATTTCTGATAGCTTCCCATTAGACCGATAGATCAATTGTCTACAGACGTTCTCGTTCGCTTGTTTTTGTAAAACGAGACAAAGTAAGATAACCCGATGAGATTTAGACGGATGAATTGATGTGATCGTTTAGTTAGTTTGAATAACTTTTCTAGTGGTAATTGCAATGATGGCTAAATTGGTGATGCCAGCTACTACAAGGCCAGACAGGTCAGCAGCTACAATCAGACAAGCCATAAACGCAGACAGAAACGAAACTTGTCGATCGACATTGCGAGCATTCACCAACATGCTGCCCGAGTAACACGGACACGGTCGGTCGGGCGGCGCAGCAGATAACACAATCATCCGAACTACACCGATATATCATTCGAATGTCAGTGCTACGGGACTACAACCACTAGTAGCGCATAAGTTGTGTATACCGCGAGGTCACTCCCCGCACCTATGTGGATTGGAAACGCGGTGACCTCCGGATTACAAGGTAGGCGTATAATCCTTTCGGACACTGGCCGAAGCAGATATCTGCACCGTTGTTTCGAAGCTGGAAGGCGAAGAACCACATGTGTTCTTCAACGAAGGTGAGTCGACGGAAGTCGACATCGCAATGGGCTGGAAACACAAACATGTACATTCCAAGAGCCTTAGTTTAGCTACAGATAAATCCATGCACCTGTCAGTTGATCAGAAAAATATAATGCCTTCCAGACGTTTGACAAAGGCAGAAAAGGACGATCCTTTAATCAAACACGAATCGCGATAGATTTATTTGCATTTTTGGGGACGATGACGTCGAGAATAGAGGCAAAACAGCAGGCCCACCGAGTAACGGTGCACAAAAATGAGTATGTCTCAGTGGACTAGGTTGGAATTGCTTAATAGGAGAAATTCAGTGGCGACTTACGCGCATAGATCATACAAAATCAAACCTGCACATGACGGTCAGCTAGGCAGTTGCGTGTGCAATGTCTTTCAATCGGAACAACATCCTGGGAAATCTGATGGTGCCGTGAGGATCGGACATAATTGAACGCACGTTACAGTGATCTATAGTGTTTATCGTGTGTTTGCGGTGTGCGATAGGAGACATGCGAAGTTGTGGTTTCTCTTGTGTATCTAGACAGAATAGTCAGTTTGTTAAAAAAAGGCCCTAGCAGCATATCAGTACTTCGCGCTGATAATTCGCTACCATGCAACTCCGCAGACGGCTGTATGAGGTTTGGCCTACTGCAAAATCACACCCACCCATATACGCTGTTTTGAACCGCCAACGGAGTACATAGTTTAAAAGTCTGAACCACTTTACCAGTGACCGCAAGTACCAATTACGGGAGATTCTTGGAACTGCCCAGTAAGTGTATATATTGCAGCTTGACCACTTGTCATGGTTCCTAATGTTGCTGTTCGAAAATAGCGCGCTAACCCAAGATAGCATCACTGAATCCAAGGAGTTTGCAGGAAGCTTTCAATGTCAAGAAATGCAAAACAGGTTACACGGAGAGTTAGAGCCCAAACTATTGAAGATCGGGCCTCAGTAGAAAGTAAGGGCGCTACTAATGAGTAGTGCTGGATGGAGCAGGACCGTAGGTTACGCACTCATAGTGAGCTAGAAAACAATCGTACGGGGCTACGAGGCACTCACTTTCCATCCGGCTGAAGTAGTTGGATCGCTGCGTTCCCTGAAGTAGTCGTAATGTGTAATGATGAAGTCATAGATCTGCTGCAAAGTGGCCTGTTGGTCCGGGTACGAGTGGATTGCAACAGTGATGAGATCAGAGTAGGTTTCTGAGCCCCAGGGATTGCGGCGAGAAGACTTTTTCACTGGGGTTGTGCTAGATGGCACGGAACCAGAATTAGGTGTAGTACCAGCGCTGTTTGGCGTGCAGGGTCTTGACGCATTTGATACAGCAGTTGCGATTGAGCGACTCACTGGACTGGAGGAGTAAGTGGGACGAGAGTGTTCTGATTTCAACTGCATAGATGGCACATGAGCAGAGGTACTACTATCGGAACTTCCGACGCGCTGTCTATCGTGAGTGTCGGTCAGAGCAGAACGGAGGGAACTCTCACGGAGAGACGACTGAGTAGAACCAGAGACACAGAGTCCTGGGGAACTGTGAGGAAGGTGAGATATGTTTGCGCAAGTCGACAGAGGGGGGTGCGTGAGGGTAGAATCTGGAGACATTTTCGGGGACTGAATGGACATGTGACTTCGAATGCTAAAGCCAGGTTTATCCAAAATCATAGTTTGCTCAATGTACTGTCCGACGTCACCGTTCATTAGCTCAATACGATGTTGATTAGGAAATGATAGAGTGTATTCGCTCTGATCACTTATCTTTGAGCTCTTCGAAGATATAGTCTGTATACTGGCAGGACTCAGGAGCAATGGATCTCGCTTACTATAGGAAGTTGACATTGACTCACCGAGTGATGGACAAAAAGTATACTTTACTACAACGAAGAATAGATTGTACGAGGCGAACACAACCGGGGAGCGATTTATGGCTTTTGAAGGTGTGAAGCTGTTGAAAAATTGGAGAAGGGCCGTACACGTTATCACGGGGATCAACCGGAGCGGAGATGCTATGTTACGTGTATAGACTGAGTTGGAGAACGGACAAGTTTCTGCGGGTGCAACGCATTTCTAGAGGCTAAAAAGACAAAGGAGAAAATCAACAATGACATTTGGTTGCACGATCACACCGAGAGTAATTTCCCGGGCGCTAGGATGAACCAAATAGGAGCTAGACATTGAAAGAGGCTCTGTATGGGTAGCAGAGGACGCAATCAAAGTAGAACAAGAGAACGGCGAGGACATACACAAATGCAGATGCGACAGCCACAATAAAGTAAGTACCAGTAGTTCAGAGAGATAGAGATCTCAATGCATAAGGTACACACTTGCTAAAGTCAACTCGGACCCGTAGATTCATACAGCAAAAGTAAAAGGGCTCAGCGAAAGTGCAGGTGGGAGCAGAAGCTCCGACAAGCTACAGCTAGTCACAGAATGAGGCATGACACACGCATACGAAGGTAGTGCTTGAAACAGGTGATCCGGTGAACACATCGGCTATGGTGTAAGAGTAGGAGCGCCGAGATGCGTAGTTTCCTAGATTCAGATTACCTGAAGTGTGTTGGCCACATGAATGAAACAAGCACACTGGTGGTAAGGGTGCGAGTGGATGAAAAAACTGAAAGGTCCCATTGGGAGCAATTTATTCGCAGAGATGTGAGAGAAGTTGTGCAAGACACAATGCGAAATCCGAAACTGCTGATGCGAGGAAAACGATAGGGTAGCGATTACCTATGAATGCAACAGGGATTCCAAAATGCGACTAATTTAAAGGCAAGCTTCTGATCGATCTGATCGATCAGATGTAAAAAAACGTCTGCCACAAGACATTAAAGGCATATCACAGTCTGTTTGTGCATAATAAACCAAGGAATGGGCTAACGAGGTACAAGACTACGATATGCGAAAATTTCGGAGAATTTGTAACCAACGAACCAAGTGGATCGTATAAAAAAGAAACGCTCCAAATGGGAAATTATAGGCACAGGGCAACTTGAAAGACAACGAGTGAACCAAGTCGATGAGATGAAGAGTAATTTGTCACTCACTGAGCAGCAAGAGCACAAGAACAGCTAAAGTGGGAGTCAATTTCAAGAACAAACCAACCGGAGAAACAAGTGGGAGCTGCAGATAGAAAATATTTGATAGCAAATATAAAAGGCCTAAACACACGCACGAAAGTTGCTATTATCAAAACAAAACGACCCGAGATGAGAGTGGTTGAGAGAGGTTACCGCAGAAAAACAGTTGAAAAGCGCAAGCGCCTAAGACAGTAGGTGCTGAAATTTATTGAATTATTGGGATAACCTCGACAACATGAGCGGAAATGGACAACACAAGAGAGCAGAAAAACGCTATCACAGCAGAACTAAAAAAGGTATCAGCGACACACCAGTAAATCGCGAGGATGCTTCGTTGTCATGCCGATGCAAGCAGCTGTATCAATATCATCATCAATACACAATAGCCGACGGTGAGACCTACCCCAGCTAATGTGCCGCAAGCAAGCGGCTGTATTCGGACTAGGATGTCGCCAAGGCACCCAAATCTAGACAGGAGAAAGAACTCGAACGCATAGGTGGAATGTGCAAGCCAAGCATTTGATTTACTGCATCGAAACACAAAGTTGTGATGGAGAGCAGCCAACCGCTGAGCGGAAACAAAGAAAACTTGGCGTGGAGAAGGAAAACCATGACAAAAATGCAGTCACGAAGTACAACCTTGCGCATTGGATAGTGCGGATAGCAAGGCGAACAAGATGTGCGGATTCGGCTCAGTTGATAAACTAGTGTGGGCATACTGAAGTGCAGTGCATTCGATTGTGTCAACACAAGTAAATGCAAAAAGGACAGTAAATATCGGCGATAGAAGGAAGGTCAACCGCAAAAAGTTAAAAAAGGCATCAGCAGTACGCCGTTTCGACGCTTCACTGCCATGCAACCACCACCAGTCGCGCGTGGGCTAAGAAAACTGCGAGGGTCGCCCGGCTCCCTATACAGGCTAGAACCGGTGACATTCATCATTAATCCTCCTCCTCCTCCTCCTCATCATCATCATTATCATCAGTATATGTTAGTTAAGGGTGAGAAACACAACTCAGCTGATGTGCCGCAATACAAAACAATAGGGTATTAAATATTACAGGCTACGAAAAGTAGAAGGGTAATATGATGCTAAATATCATATTATGCATTGGGGTGTGAGGTCGGTGTTGGAGGGATAAGCTAAAGGGGGGCAATGAAACTCAACACAAAAACCACTGATGTCCGCTCATCGTCACGTCAACAAGTATATCCAAACAGAGGTGATATCCGGACTGCAAAGCAGACGCCACTTCGGATGCGGTCAAAGTGATCGAAATGGCACAGGTTTGCTTCAAAGCAAACTGTAACCGCAATCGAGGTTACGTGGTGCAGTTCAGACACTCGGCAGGAACTCCATAACGCAAAGACACCTAGTTCTTTCCGCCACCAGCCAGCAAGGGATCGAAAGCAACAACACCGCTCGTTTTGGTGGTTCGGTCAGCCCAGTGTATCAACTATGGTCCGTGCACCAAAGTGGAGTGAATCCAGCTGCTTTGGTATATGTTACCAAGTTAATAGAATAATAATAATAATAATAATAATAATAATAATAAGATAGTGATGAACATGAATCAGATGGAAGAGCTACGGATTAGAGAAAACGAGCTCAACAGAATCATAGACTGTGATAGTGCCATATATGATGTTATTAAGCCACTGAGGTGGTCGATGTTGTGAACCTCATACAGTAACACAATAAGCCAAACCAAACCCACCTTGTAGAGGAGACTCTCCATCATCAGCATCATCAACACACGTTAGCTGAGGGTGAGAAACACCTCAGGTAATGTGCTGCAATACAAACAGATAAGATACTAAAAGTTTACACTACAAAGAATTAAAAAAGCAAATATTATAATGTTGAATACGATACAATTCGCATGAGATTGTAATTGGAGGGGGAATTCAAAGCGGGAGGAGTGGACAAAGAAACTCACAGCACAAACGCCATTTGGGTCGGCTCTTCACCATATCAGCGTGTCCAACCAGTCGGGGTATCCAACTGACGTTAATTTCGAAACGAGGGTTTTCATTTCTCTCGACCAAGTCATCGCTTGGCCTACCCTCCTCCTCTTCCAACTGCACCCCCGGCTCCCCAAACAACGCACGTCGCTGGAGTCGGTGTGCTGGTTTGCGCAACACGTGGCCCAGCCATCGGAGCCTGGTACGTGAAATAACGGTGTTGAACGGTTCATTTCCTTTGCCTGTGCCGTAAACAAAGCGTCGAACACGCTCGTTGCTTGTTCGAGAGTAATGTCGCGTCTGCGCCACAGGTGGCGGAGATTGACAAAAGTACCTCGAGCTTTTGCTATACAGTTCGAAACCACATATTCGATCCCATGGACGTTAAGATAGCTGCTCAGTTACTTGAATTCCTGAACGACTCTTTGCTAATCAGCACCAAGAGTCAATGCAGAAGTGGGTCCCTGCCAATCTTGAAGGACTTTGTATTTCGAGCGTGCAAAGGACATCCCAAAACAACTGACAGCCAGTGATAATCGGTCCAGCGCTGCTTGGTACGTTTGGGAGCTGTTATAGATAAGAACAATATCATCCGCATAACCAAGTCAAGAAGACGCGCACGAGGAAGCAGTTCCACACGTTCTAGGTCGTGTCTAACGAACCCTCTTTTCATGACTTCACCAACTGCGTTGTTAAAGAGGAAAGGTGACAGCGGGCAACCTTGTCTCACACCGCTGGTGATACTGAAGGGTGGCGACAGTTTGCCATAAACCCTCACTCTACCCGAATTATGCGCGTACATCGTTTTGATAATGTTTACATATTTATCGGGCGCACCTTTCCGCAGCAGACAGTCCCAAAGGGCACATCGATCCACTGAGTCGAAGGCACCTTTTATGTCAAGAAACACGACAACGATGAGTCACCAATAAAATATGGCAGTGCTCCAACAATTGACGCAAGGTGAGGATGTGGTCGATGTAGCCCCGATCTCGACAAAACCCGACTTAAACCTCACGAAGCTGGCTTTCACGAGTGCCAGTCAGTCTGTGGAGAAGGACAGAGGCGAGTAATTTAGAGGCAATCGAAATCAGACTGATCCATCTATGAGGGTATGCGGGTGTTCTCCGAGCTGGCTGATTTGGTTGCAAATGTTTCATCGCCAGACTAGACGACATCATCAGTGCGATTTATGCGGGCCACTTGCAGATCCAAGTGATTATTGATCACTTGATTCGAACAGTACGGGAGAGCTGACTACACGGTCAGTTCACGTGGACCAATCGACTCCTGACGTTCGAATCAAGTGATCAATAATCACTTGGATCTGCAAGTGGCCCGCATAAATTGCACTGATATGATGTCGTCTAGTCTGACGATGAAACGTTTGCAACCAAATCAGCCAGCTCGGAGAACACCCGCATACCCTCATCCGCATCCCGAACTACAAATATTCTCACAGATTTCTGATCCATCTATGATTGCCGCATTCCGAACGGGAGCATTCCTCGAAAATTGGGATAATGACAGAGCGGTTCCAATCTGTCGGGGCAGTTTCCTGCTCCTAGTTTCACTAGAAACTCGTGTAGATGATATACTAGAGCAGGTTCCTCAAATTTGAAGAGGGCTGGGGGAATTCTATCTGCCCCTGCGGCCTTATGCAATTTCAACAGCATGATCTCACGTTCGACTTCTGCGCGTGAGGGCGGATCCAAACAGACGGCCCAGGGAGAACAGCAGTCAATGCCCGAAAAAGAAAGCGATAACTCAGGTTGGTTAAATTGTCTTGCAAAATGTTCGACCCAACGGATCGACTGCCCACTATCGTCACGTATGGTCTCGCTAGCAACAGGTCTCCTGCTGCCTGTTTCACGTATCAGACGGAATAACTTACGATGATAACCAACGGCAGCGGTTGTTTCCATTTCCGATGCACGATGAGACCACCAGGCTTCGGGGTCTCTCTTCAGGCTAGCAAGCAGTTTTACCTTGAGATTTCTGCGAGCCTCATAGTATTCGCTACTAGCCAGAATACGTCAGGGAGTATCCATAAGTTTCAGAGACTGTGTAGAGACCCAATGTCCAGTTTGGCAATTTGATTTGCCATATGAAGACATGTCTGCTGATAGTAACGTTTGACGAATATGCGACCAGTGATCTTCGACAGTGTTTAGTGGGCGCTTACTCAGCCCGGATGTCAGCGCACTTTGATCCGCATTCACAATACCTGGCTTCCCCTGCCGACTGGTGTCAATCCGTTCATATCGACGTTGCGGAAGTCCACCGAAACGCACCTGGAAGTCGGCGCAGAGAAGTGCGTGGTCAGAGCCTAAGCTAGTGCTCCAAAGCGAGCGACAGTTTTCGACAACCGCTCACCATTATCATTACTGGAGCCTACACCATGTTGGCCGCCCAGATGAAAGTCATCAAAGAACAATTTCCGATTTGCGCGTTTAGATCGTCAGCCAACACCAAAGTATCCGTGCTTCTTCAGTAACGAAGGAGATCGTTAAGTTGCCGATAGAAATCATCTTTCACCGAATCAGTGCTACAGTTTGTAGGGGCGTATACCGCAATGACAAACAGGCACTGTTTGTTCACGCATGGAACGAACCAACTAACCTAACGGCGCACATCCGAATGTTGACTGGGATCCGGTCGATCAAGGCAGCTTCAGCCCGGGGACTCAAAACAATGCCGACGCCAGCTTGACCGGCATTTGAAGTTGCGTCATCGCCAGACAGGCGCAATGAGAATGTGCTGTCAATGTCGCTTGTGACGGATCACAGGGTAAGCACGGAGCTCGAATCTTGCAGGCGTGTTTCTGATAAACAGCAAATATCGATCGATAGGGTCTCTAGTGTGCGGGAAAGTGCTGCGTTGCCAATCTGTAGCAAAGTGCGCACGTTGAGGTATGCCAGTCTTAGCGAAATGCGAGGACTCCAAAGGGAAACGGATGAACTGACGTTGTCCACATGGCTGAACATGGACTTGTCGACTGGATTGGAGCGACGCTCTGCGACTGTGTGTTGAAACTAGAGAACAAGCGATTATCGAAGCAAGGTGGAGGAGGGCCAAGAATTGGGGGACTGAAAATGGGGGGGGGTGGATAAAAGTAAAGTTGGAGCGGGATGATAAAAAGGAAAAAGCGCAAGGAGATAAGAAGACGGGAAGGTCTGAGCGGTAGCATCCAAACGCCTATGCACCCTGCTCGATGCAGCAGATAGGGCAATGTTGATTACTCTCTCCAACGGCCAGAGTAGCAAGAATTTGTTAGAAGAAAGGTTCATTGAATTGCGTGGGCAGAATACTGTCAGGTTGCTCAGGCATAGACAGGAGAACGATTAGGGTTCGCAACCAAAACCTTTGGTTCAAAAACCTTACTGCAAGTCAGCGCGGTTTTGGCCCTGGACTACAGAGAGCCCGTTTTATGGAGTAAGGAGCAACCACACTCCAACCCCCAACCTGCAGGGTCAGGAGACCGTGTTTGTCTGGCCTCTAACCATTGACCAATCTGGTATAAGTGGTTCTGAAGGTGTAAAAAAGCACCACCCAGCATAGCTCAATGGATCACCAAGGCACACAAACCATCGCACTGCGTTGAGATCCAGTCTCGTCGCTATGGCTCGCAACAAGCCCTCTGGTGCCTTACTGGAGTGTTTGCGAGTACTAATTTCGGACACAGAACGCGCCGGAGGGTGACTTGGTGCCCACCAGCCTCGAACCAGCTATGGACGCAAATCGATCACATTGCGATAAATGATCGATGGAGAGGCTTCCTCTAGAACTGCTGCTCGATTTGGAGCACATGTGTGGACACCGACCATGCACTTTTGGGTGCTGACCTGCGGATGCGTTTTGGCGGACGCCCACGACAACGTTGTGACCGCACTGACACCAGCCAAATGGCGAAACCAGTTGTTCTGAATGCTTATCAAAGTACGCTGTCATGCGAGTTGAGTAACCGATTACTGGATGCAATTGAAGCTCAGTGGTCTTATATTCACCAGACCTTACTAGCAGTAGGAAAATCCTCATGTGATAAGTCTAATCGCCAATATGGACATTAACACTCTTCGTGGTCTCTGGAATTTATCGATACTCGCCGACATATTCCGGCAGGAAGCGAACACAAAGAAACTCGCAAAGAGCTCCGGGCAAAACTCCGTGCTAGCCTGAAGACAGACCGTGAAGCGCGCTGGTCTCATGCTGTCTCAAGAGATGGAAATGGCCGATGCCCTTGGTAACCATTGGAAGTTATTCCGGCTGATACGGGAAACGGACAGTAGGAGACCTGGTGTTAGTGAAACTATATGTGACGAAAGTGGACAGCCTATCAAAAACTTGTCAAAACGCTTGCAGCATTGGGGTGAGCACTTCGAAAGGCAATTTAATGGGTCGGAATTGTTAGATTTCTCGCCGGCCACTGATCGCCCCGCTCCGTGGGCTGTCCCTTTGGATCCACCCTCGCGCTCAGAGGTCGAACGTGAGATCGCACTGTTGAAGTTAAATAAAGCCGCGGGACCAGATGATCTCCCTCCAGCCCACTTCAAATTCGGGGGACCTGCACTTGTGGATGATTTATACGAGTTACTAGTGAAACTGTGGGAGCAGGAAACTGTCCCAAACGACTGGAGCCGCTCCGTCATAGTCCCAATTTTCAAGGGAGGCTCACGATCGGAATGCAGCAACCATAGGGGAATCAGTCTGATCTCCATCGCCTCCAAATTGCTTGCCGCTCTCATCCTTCACACACTGACTGGCACTCGTGAAAGCCAGATTCGTGAAGAGCAAGCCGGGTTTCGTCGAGGTCGTGGCTGCATTGACCA